TTTTTTAATCTGGTCTTCTGGGGCCTAGTGCAGGAACTTAGACCAAAATAATGGCCTCCTATAATTTTTATTTAGCATTAGAAAGAATGTAGATTAAACTTATTGTAGATGTTACATAAAATGACTAAAAACTGCTGTCTGTTTTTGTCTCTTGTTTTTGTTGTGTTGTTTTTAACAGCTTCATCACTGGTCCATCTGTAATCCCAGGGTACTTTTCTGTTGATGTGAGAAATGTGGTACTCATTTTAAATGGAAGAGAAAACTCAAAGGTCTATTATGCCACCCAGTGGTTATACTATGCACAACGTCTAATGCTAAGTCAAAAAATCCAGCATTTTGCTGTTGTTTTGCTTGGAAATGAATATTGTGATAATGAATGGATACACCAATTCCTCAAAAGAAATGGTGGCTTTGTGGAGCTGCTTTTTATAATATATGACAGCCCCTGGATTAATGATGTGGATATTTTTCAATGGCCTTTAGGAGTAGCAACGTAAGTACAAAATATGATTACAAATTTCTAGACTCTTACGACCTGAATTTCTGAATCAGGAAGCTTGTGTTTTAAGTTGTACCAAATTTAGTTCTGGGATCATTGAAGCCAGCTACAGTCTTTCCTAGAGTCAAAAAAAGGGATAGTCTCATGCTTCAGTGACAATAATGATGTTTTTAGAGTATTTTATCATTTCATGAGGACAGCAGATGAGTTGCTTTTTTTGTTTTAATACCCCAGGGCATGGGATGGATTTTTAGGCTTATTAGGAATGCCGTAGAGATGTTTATTATAGAATGGCAGAACAGACTTTCTTAAAAACAATAATAGGGTATATATAGTTTATAGTAAAAAAGTTATTTTAAAGGCAATGTTATTATATGAAGAGCACACTGTACCCTTGGATTTGGGACTGGCCAATTAGCAGCAATCCCCTCTCTAAAAGGAGGGATTAATTAAATGGTACCCCAATATGTAGTCTTTCTCCAGCTATAAAATGAAAAACGTATTTTTTTATCTTTCTGTTAATAG